AAAAAAAAAAGAACAGATGACTGATTTTATGGGGTCCAAAAATTTCATAGAGAATTCCTGAAGAATTTGGAATGAGAAAGCACTTTTCTACACAAATCCTATTAAATCAATTCATCTGTAAAACTCCCCTAATATTTTTGTGTAAAATATTCATTTTTAAATACCATAGTGTGCTTATTTTTACATACTTTGTGTCTGTTCTTGGGCAAAAGGCCTATGATATGCTAAGGTCATTAGGAAGACTAATTTGAAGAAAGCAAGGTGCTTCCTTAAATGTCAGTATATTTTAGGCTTGGACCTTAGCTTGTTTAAGACAAGTGAGCTTTAACATGAGCTGACATGCGCATACTTAATTGTGACACACAATCTCTTGAGCTTTTCAAAGCTCCTCGGCTGGTTAACATTCTTTTGCCATTCACGAAATTGATCATTGCTCCATACCTCTGATGGAAAGTCAGAGTAGCTTATCGTGTGCTCTGTAAGAGAAACAATCCTATTGGTAAATAAGGTATAAACCTATCCATAGCATATTAATCACTTTGCCTAATCTGTGTGTGTATGTTTGTGTTGTGGGGAATTTTATATCTGCTTTCAGTTTTAAATCTCTCTATGTAGGAATTTAGTCCATCCACCATTAATTCTCATTTGTTTGTTCAAGAATAGACTATAAACAAAACTGATATTTTGAAAAGAAAGAGAAAATATAAAAGTTTGCCTGAAATTGCAATAACATATTTTCCTTTCCTAAGGTCCCAGTAAGCATGACAATCCTGATACTGTAGTCTTCCGTGAGATCCAGTGACCCGTGCTTCTCTTCCATGTCTGAAAGCAGTAGGGTAATAGCAGCAACTGCTCAGCTAGCAGAGAGACCTGCTGCCATAGTGCTGGGGAATGGTTTACATTTGCTTGTCCCACATGCAGTGGCTGCTATTCTCAGGTCTACTATAATCCAAGATGTATCTCCCAGTAGATTGATTTTCCATGAAGCCTTGCTATTGGCTGCGCCCCCCCCCCAAATACCAGAACAAATAAAAATGTTATTAAGGCTTTGAATCCTTGTACCATTTTTCCGGATGAAGGAGTACCAATTCCTAACCCAAGAGGTGCCCACCAAGAAACTCCTCTGGATAATCTTTACTCCTTAGATGGTTCTTATTTGAAACCAAGTCCAACCCCAAGCAACTATCAAGGTTATGCAATGATTACTACATCAGAGATATTGGAGAGTAGCCCTTTACCCCAGGTAACTTCAACATGACAAACAGAGTGGTGGTTCTTATACCAGCTCCGAACTATTAATATATTATAGTAATGACGTGCAGGTATTCTCATTGGGTGGAGGCATTTTCATGTTGGGATGGCACTGCAATCTTTGCTGCCAAAAAAAGAAAAAACCACGATTGGAAAGTATTTTCACTACATGGGAGCACCTCGTACTATGTGTAGTGATAGAGGTTCCCATTTGACTAGCCAAGTTCTAGAGGCCGTTTGTAAGGTTTTCCCCATTTTGCATAGATTGCTCCATCCATATCACCCACAATCTTCTGCACTGATCAAAAACAAATAAATGTAATGATAAAGGTCCAGTTATCTACCCTTACAGCCTACTTTAGTTTAATGTGGCCTGCGGTGTTATTCACTGCACTCATCAATCTATGATCTACTTTTGGCACTCACAGATTAACTCCTTCTGAAATTACCCCTCTTCCCTACAATGCTGTAGTCTTTGATTCAACGGTAATTTCTGATAGCCTCGTTAAGTAGTGCCCAAGTTGAATACAAAATGCATTGTGCTGACACGAATGATGACGAGCGTGTGCTCATGCTTCTCCTAGTCATGGACGCTTTTGTGCTCCAGAGCCCGGTGATTACATACTGAAAACAATATCAGATGAAGGATTCTTTGGCACTGAGATGGAAGGAGCGTTATTTGCTCTTATTAAAAAAGCAATCTTGCTGCAAAATGACAGAGTGTAAAATCCTAGCTACATCATTTTCAGTTGAAGAAGATCAGAGTCTCTGATTGAGTGGTCGAGCCAACTGGAGGAATAAAGCCGAAATGCAGTTGTCCTCCTAAAACCACCAATGAGGACCCACTTACAAGTACAATTTGTTTATCCTCATATGCGATGATTGTTACATCTCTCTGTTGATTTGTATTGATTGTGATAGAAAATAATGTCAATTGTTTATTTTGTTACATTTTGTTGTATTAGTAGAATGGATGCCTGGAATGATTAGATGCCACACCCTGTAACAAACACCCTTGCCAGCACCAGACTTATTTGGGTGGCTACCATCAGGAATATTCACACGAGCTATGTAAGTTTTACAAGGGATAGTAATGTCCATTTTCTTTCTGTTCATAGTATGCATAATTAACCTTACCTTTCACGGACTTATGTATGGTAGAGGAAAGAGAATGACTTGGACTAAGGTGATGCTTGTGGGTTACCTGCCTCTGGTCTAAGTATGGATAGAAACCAGATGGTATCTGGTGGAAAACCAGCACCATAAACTCAAAAAGTCTGCCATAGCCTCCACCTAGGAGCCCAATAAAGTCTAGGTTGATCATTAATGTACGACCCTCAATCTCTAATCACAAGGAGGGAATGCTTTAGTTCCTAAAACCAAAGGCACTCCAGTCAGATCCCTGGTTTCATCCTTAGCCTTGAAATAGTCCTAATGGCATCTTAAACCAAAAAATAAACCCCAAACAAAAAAACAAACAAAAAACCCTCACTGCTATCAAGTTGATGTTGACTCGTAGTGACCCTAACCCTGTGAGCTTCCAAGTCTGTAACTCTTTATGAGAGCAGAAAATTCCATCTTTCTCTGGAAGAGCCGCTGATGGTTACAAGCTCAACTTGTAACTACTATGCCACCAGGGTTCCTGAATTCACTTCCGACCCTGAGCAGTTTCCCTGATCCATGAAGGCAGGGAGGAACAGTTTGCCTATAGGAAAGACTGATAGCTGACGCAGGAAGACAGCAAAGCATAAGGAAAACCGACGTAAGGAAGTATTTCTCAAGACTAAGACATGTAAATGGGGGGGTGGGCACTATCTCCTTTGCCCTCCCCAATTCTGGCCTGATGGTTAAAGGAAAGACTTCTCCTGACTGTCTTTACCAGAAAAGCTTTTAACAAAGACCTTTGGAGAAGTTACTGTTTATCTTGTCTCTTAAAAGGTTCAAACTACCAACAGCTCTGTATATAAACTGATGATCTTGCATTGCTCAGAAATAGCTTTGACGCTGTATCTGTCTTCTTCCTACTTCTCCCTTTTCTCTTTGTTGCATATTCTGAATATTTTTTTACTTTACACCACTAAAAAAAACATGACAATCCCCAAACCATTGATCAGCACTGAGCGAGCAAGAATGGCCAGTGCTTGAACAACAAAGTAAATTTTAATAAATTTGCTCAAAATATTTTATTAGTTAAGGTCTTATATAAACAATAACATGAAAGGGAGGTATGTGTTACACTGAATGACATAGAAAATATAAGTATGCTTGTGGTTTCTAAATTCTTTAAAATATTAACCAGTAATGGTGGAGTAATTCATATGAGGAAGAGTAAATATCATATTCATATAATATTTGAAACTTCCAAGTACTCAAAGCATAGTGCTAATTGTTAAGTGCAAAGAAAGCTCATAATAAAATAGACTTTTAAAATTACAAATAAAACTGTATACATCAAGGATATTTTTAAGGCCTTCCCTGTGTGTGTAGCACTATGGAGAGAGAGAAGAGGAACAGCCAAGATAGAGACGACCACATCAGGTGGTACAGGCATGACCCATTTCAGCTTGCAAGACCATCTCCTCTTTTCTCAAAGGGAAAGTGTCAATCAGTTTGAAGATGGCCATGGGCGTCACCAGGGAGATGTAGCGCTCCTTGTCCATGCCATGCTTATCCACTAGCACCATACTGAAGGAATAGAGTGGGATTCGCAGTAACAACCTGGGACAGACAAGGGAGGGGGAAAAGAACATTATGTCAAACTCTCACTCATAAAGGCTTTGATAGAACAGCCACAGCCCATGAATGAAACTGGGTGCAGTAAAAATTCAATGAATGCATTTCACTTTGTTTTTCTCCATTTACTGACCATCAACGTGGTGCAAGGTATGGGGTATCAAATGTTGAAAAGATCTAGTATGGACCTCAAACTATTAGATTCTGGAGAGGTGTTAAACAGAGGTGCAAGCGTAGTAGAATGATAAATTATAAAATCTTATGAGTGTATTCAGCACACCCCCTCCTTCAGTCAACTAAAGAGAATTCAGGCATATTATTATTATTTCCCTTTCCGGGCTGAGTTTTTTATTTTCGTGGAAATGGGGTGGAATCTTTTTCATGGGGAGAGGAATAAATCAAAGAAAGCTTGGACTAGAAAATAGAGAAATTAGATGAAGGAATATTGTATCAATCTAGATCTCTCGTTAAAGACATGTTCTGGACATTTCGTGAACCTCGTTGAATAGCTATGATGGAGCTCATGAAGGCCCATTTTATTTTCTTCCTGAGAACATAAAAAAAGTTCATTCCCCAGCCTGTCTTGAAATTTGGTTATAATCACATGACCAGTTCTGGCCAATAGAATGGGATAAAGAAGCAGTGTGTTACTTCCATCATGAGATATAAAAGAGTCTGTGTGGACTGTTTTTGCCCACTCTATTCCATGTTGCAGAAACACAAAGTTACCTTTTCAGAATGTCGAGACTTTAAGATGCTGAAGCTGCTATCACCCTCAAACTCTTGAGAAACTGTGCAGTGCAGAGATCTGCAGCTTACCTTGCAGTGGATCTGAAAAAACTATAGGCCCAAAGGGAAGGTGTTCCTAATCTGGGATTAACCCTCATTTTGCTTTACACATTGGGCAAGAGATACAAGTAAAAATTGGGGTTATTCTGAAGTTATCTTTCTGAATTCTGCTTCTTTAATACAGTATCATTTAAAGCCTAAACAGCTTGGTTCTGGTCTTATAAATGTTACCAAAATAATTGTGACAAAAGGGATATAGACAAGAGCCCTGGAAGCAGGGAGGAGGAAAAGAGGCCAAGCCTCTAAAGGCTAATTGAACACTCACCCTCCTAATAAGACCAGCATTGCTTTATTCCTTTTCCCAGATAGTCCCTGCTTATCCCAACCCTTAAACAAATGAGCAAAGCAAAAAATAGACAAAGCAAAACAGTCTTGTCTTGCTTGAAGAGGGAAATTATGCGGACAAGCAGCAGCTTGGCAATTAGCATAGTTGCAATAATACCCTCCGAGTCAAAAGGAGTAAGCATTGGAAGATGCCAGGAGTCAATGCTGAATAGAAAGAAATCAGGACACCTTGTCAGACAAAAAGTCAAGATGTGTTAATAGGGAATAAAATTTAAGGACAAGTTTTCTCCCTACTTGAGTTGCAGAGCTAGGCTTGAAGGTATAATCTTTGATCTTATCCTGCCAATGAGGGTCGGAAACACGCCCACCAGCTCCACCACAGTGATGTGCCGAAGATCCATGCTGCACTGTGCTTGCTGAAAAACAAAAATCAAATACAAGGAAGGCATGAGCATGGCTAAAGAAAGAGACTTCCCTGCCAAACTCCAATCTGGCAGAAGAAGCCCTGACCTGCATTTCGAAAGTTTATGTGATCACTCCAAATTGCTCTGGCAACAGCTGAAAAGTTAGGGTTAAATTAGTGGCTATAACACCTCAATACATTCCTAGAGGAATTATTCAGAAATGGCTTGCCAGTGAGATTTGAAAAACCTAAGCAAAATGGAAGACTATGTGATTCCAGACTACACATAAACCAAATTAAAACAAAAAAGTCCAAGGCTTTTTTGATCCGTTAGGCTTTTTTATTCTAAACTTGTCTTTGCAAGGAGGAAAGAATATTTCTAGAGGCCTCATCACCCTGCCTTATGCCCACCTCTATATGGCCGCACTTGGAGGGAAACAAGAATGAAATGTTCTGGCTCTGGGAGCCTGGCCTTGGCCAGGAATGTGGTGCACTCCGCTATGTGCCAGGAGGTCTCTTGAGGAGCAGCAGGGGCAAGAAGGAAGCACAAAAAAGTAATTTAAGACCAATCTGGAGCTCTGGTGGTGGAGTGGTTACATGCTGGGCTGTGATCCCCATTGTTGGCAGTTCCCAAGACTGAGCTTTTTACTCCCCTAAACAATTACAGTCTCAGAAACCCACAGGGAGTTACTATGAGTCAGCATGGACTGGATGGCAGTGAGAAGACCCATCTGGTTAGTTGAGAAAAAAGTTTAAACTCCTGAACTATTACAATTCCAAAATTTGTAGCCTGGTTCCATGGAAGCATCCCTATCTTGGTTGACAGAATTGATAGAAAAGATAAAAATATACTTTTCTATTATTCGGACTGAAACAAGTCAATCAAACCTTTCCTTGAAATTCTTTTTTCAAATGCAAATACAAATATGCTAGGGGGTGAGGTGCAGTCATACATAAACACTTTAATACTAAATACATTATCCTAAGAAGTGAATAGTACTTTATATAATAAGTAGAATAGAGTAGAAGTTGGCAAACGTTTCCTTTTAAGAGCCATCTAGTAAAAATTTTAGGCTTCGCAGAGCTGTACAATTTGATTGCAACTACTCAGCTCTGCCGTCATCATGTGGTAGTGTGTGATAGCATGTGGCACTCCAAACTGCCCTGAAGACAGTTGAAAAGGTGGGGTTAAACTCTGCCCTAGACTATATGCAAATGAGTGAGTATAGCGGTATTCCAATGCAACTTTATTTGCAACAATAGGCAGCAGGCCAGATTTGGGCCCCGTGCCAAGGTTTGCTGACCAACAGGAAAAGCACATTGTTTGTTAGATCCGTTTTTCTGTGGATTAAGAGGAGGTCAGAAGGCACAGTATATTGGAAACCCAGATCCCCAAACCACTGCCATTAAGTTGATTCTGATTCATAGCAACCCAATATGATGGAGTAAAACTGATCGTTTGGATTTCCAAGACAGTAAACCCTAATAGGAGCAGAAGACCTCCTCTTTCTCCTGCCATATGTTAAAATACAGCCTCAAAAGCCAATGTCCCACAAAAATGTTGGCCTGTGAGCTTGTGTTTCCTGCATAGCAGAAGAGCTCTGGTGGTATAGTGGGTCACACCAACTGCTCTGCGAGGAAGATGAAGCTTTCTACTCCTGCAGAGTTACAGTTTTGGAAACCCACAGGGGCAGTTCTACCCTCTCCTATAGGGTCATTATGTATCAGAATTGACTGGATGGGGATGTGGTGTTTTGTTTTTTTTTAAATTTATCTGACACAGAATAGGAGGGTGGAGGTGACAGGGACTCAAAGTACATATGTATTGATTTTGGTTTCTATTAAAAGAAGCTAAAGATTTTAATGTGTCTCTTAGGGGTTCCAGGCCTGTCTTACAAGTATATGTGAAAAGTGAAGAATAATTTACCAGTATTCATTATATTAATGCTGAGCTGAGAAGTAAAACTGTAGAATTGGCTTAAGCCAAGATTGTTCAAAATGCTCCCTTTTCACTGTAATAAAGAAATGAAATATTCCTCAAAAAATGTGAGGCACTGTGTCCACAACACATTATATCCTAATAATTAAATAATTACCCTAGCAAGTAATCAAGTCACTCAGATTTATTGCAAGCCATCTTCAGGAAGAAAAAAACAAGAAAAGTCTAACTTCCAGACTGTTTTTCTACTTCTGTTCACAACATGCCAGTTGCCTCATTGTGAAGCTACAGAATTTGCACAGCTGAGAACACATTTCCTAGAAATGCACTCCTCAAACTTCAAGGTGCTTAGAGACCACCTGGAGTGTCTTGTTTAAAATGTAGGTGCAGCTCTGAAGTGAAGGGCTGAGAATTCCCATTTTTAACAAGTTTCCTGTGTTGTTGATGCAATGAAAGCCAGGAAGCACACTTTTAAGTACCATCATTCTAAAAGATGGCTGTCACTCTCCTTGGAACTCTGTGAGAGCAGATTCTGAAGTCTGGGCCCTCCTGAGAGGCCTCTCATCCCTTGGGCCAGCCATTCAGGCAGATGACTGATTGATCCAGTCCACGCATATTGGGGACAGCGTCAGCAAAAACGATTGTTCTTTGGCTGGCCTGGACAGCATGCCAATGAGGCTCGGTGCTAAAGACAGACAAACACTGTTCGTTGGAAAATGATTGGTTAGCTTTGGGGAGTCGGTGTCAATCAGGTTATGCCCCAGAACTAGAAACGGATGGTGGCAGCTCTAAAGTGCTAGTTCCTGAAACTCACAGTTAATGGATTAAGCACTGACTTTAGCCTTTGCGTTTAATGAAATAACTGGGCCCTTCCTGGTAGAGGTCTCTCTCCCACCTTGTCTGGATCCCGAGACTCACCTGTAGCATTCCCAGCTGCAACTGGTAAAAAAGGTTCCGGGCTGTGGGTGTGGACAAAATGAGGAGTCTTCTTTTCTCATAAAACTGATCTAGGAGTGCAGCTGCTGTTCGGACGCCCACATTGATGTTCATGGCTGGAATTCGAAATAGACACATGGGCATGGAAAGACGGTTGAACTGGGGCATGTTTGCCTGGGAAGAAGCTCAACAATCTCAACAAAATCAATAAAATTTAGAGGAAAAAGTAAATCACACAGTTTTGAAGTGAAAGAAGAAAGACAAGAAATGTGCCCTTCTACTTGTCCCAGTTCAACACAGCCTGTGATGACATGCAGAATCATAGGAACAGACCCTGAGTGTAAGCAGTTTCCTTGGGAGGTGGTTTCAAGAAATACTGGTTGGGAATAGGGCTTCTGTAACCAATTGTCACAAATTAGCGACGGAAAACAATACAAATTTACTGTTCTGCAGTCCTGGAGTTCAGAAATAGGGTTCACTAGCTAAAATCAAGTATTGGCAAGGTTATGCTCATTCCAGAGGCTCTAAAGAGAATCCATACCCTAGCCTTTTCGATTTCTAGAAATTGTCCTGTATTCCTTAGCCCAGGGCTACTTCTTCCATCCTCAAAGCCAGCAGTGTGATGATTTTAAATCCGTATCCACTCTGACCTTTGCTTCCATTATCTCCTTCTATGACCCCGACTTTCCCTCCTCTCTCTTTTCCATATAAGGGCGCTTGGAATTACATTGGAGCTACCCAGAAAGCCATGATAATCTCCTCATCTCACAATCCTTAATTATACTACAGCTTCAAAGTCCCTTTTGCCATGTAAGGCAAAGTCCTGGGCATTAGGAGGTAGGCATCTTTGGGAGTCCATTCTTCTGTCCACCTTAGGAAGTAAGACCAGAAGGAAAGGAAGCAATGCAGAGTGGGTTTTCAGCAAGCTGGGGGTATCTGTAGCTCACGCCTAATGGGGAACTCCTGGCGATGGTGGACTGCACACCTCAAATCTATTCTATCAGAAGAAAATAAAAAGAGGAACATCATTGATCAAGGGCTGCATCTGGAAGCACGGACACTTCCTCCCTTCTTGGGCCTGTGCATGGGTCTGCGATAATTTCACGACTGAGGAGGGGTGCTCTTAATCAAAGAGATCCAGGCTATTGCCCTAAGTAGTATTCTGAGCATAAATGGGAGTGTAAAGGCCATATGGTACAGGCACTAATAGCATGTGCTGAGGAGAGAGGGACAGAGAGGGCTAAAGAGGAGAGAATAGGCAATGGAAAGGCTGACTTGTAGCCCAAAGGCTGAAACCAAAGTCTGTTTCATTGGTGCTGCGGGGACAAACAAATGAAGGCTTCAGAGGATCACAGAGCAAAGCATTCTGCCATGGAGCACAGGAGACCAAGACTTCTTTTATGTAGGTGTTGTTTGGACAACTGTGTAACAACAATGAAGGGTGTTCAACGAACAGGTAAGCAAACCGCCTTGGGTCTGGAGAAAACATAATATGAGAAGAACTGGGGAAGTGCATGTGTGGTTGATAGTCCTGGTGTTTGTATTTCAAACTTTGCAGTTGTATTAGCCACTAATGGCTCATTTACACATTAATCCAGTGAGGCAGCACCCCCTGAGTGCTTACTAGGGGCTCTGGGATATCACAGTGAGTGATGCAGAGTTCCTGTCTGTTTCCCCGAGGGCTGCCTCTATGTCACAGCTTGAAGTATAATGGAAACATATTTAATAGTACATGAGGTAAACATAAAGAAGTAGATGAAACTCATTTGCAATAATATATTTTATTTAACTCAATATATCCAAATGAGCTTTTCTGCATGTAATCAAAATAGAAATTGTTACTGAGATATTTTATAGTCTTTATCTTATTTGGGGGGGGGTACTGTGTCTTTGATATCAAGGTTTCTTTTACCTTTACAGCAGATTTCAATTCAGACTAGCCACATTTCAAATGTTCAACAACCACAGGGTGGCTACCATATCGGTCTGCACTGGTCTAGGACCTTGTTGAACAACTTGCGTCTCAATGCCAGGTGATAGACATCGAGTCCTTAGAGGGGGAGCTTGGGATGGCAATGCTCTTTCTCTCCCACTGTATAAAATTGAGGAACCTCAAGTATTTAAATAAAGGCGCAGGTGTGTTTCTTTTACCTACCTCTGAATGGTGACCATTTAAGAGAAAAGATGCTGATGACACTACCAGGAAATAAGGGTGGGGGGAGGATATATAAAGAAGAGCTAGATCTAGAATTCTCTGGAGCATTCAAATTTCACACAGTTCATACAACCTGGCCTAGTTTTTGTTCATCTGTTATTAACAATTGACATGTATTGAGAACTCTCCCTGTGCCAGGCACGGCTCTAATCCACCATTCATTGGATGACCCCCTTTCATCCTTACAACCACTCAAGTAGTAGAAAAAGCAGGATGTGTCTCCTTTTATCAAGGCAGAAAGGTCTCTACAAAACAGTCTCCACAAAACAGTCTCTACAAAATGGGCCAAGTCGGTGTGACTTTCAAGCTCGAGCTGCCAGGCTGACATTGCAGCCTGTCCATGGTGGCATATTGATTTCATAAATCAGAATCCTACATTTGTAGAAGGGAGGAACAAGAATAACGAAAGCTGCTGCTGCTGCTGAATCCTGACGTCATACAAAACTAGCTCTGAGTTCTTCCGTCCCCCTTCTTCCTTAGAGAACAGGAAAATGAATCAGAGGCAAAATTGGAGGGATAGTCACATCAGCAGAAATCTAGGAGGTGCTTTCACTCACTCAGATGAAGACGGATGGCGCTGACCCTTCCAATGTATATGAAATGACCCTCTCGCTCGCTGTACTTGGTTATTCAGAGGAACTCAGAACCAAGGGGTCTTCAGTTTCTGCTGGGCTGGAAAGATGGATGCACACATACCTGTACAAGTGGGCTCCGTGCCAGACCAAGCCAGGTTAGATTGACACACTCGGGCAGGGCTACCCTGTAGCTCATAGCCACCGATGCAGGAGAACTCACAGGTGGCTCCATAATTGTCACCGTCACTGGAGCACTTCATATAACCATTCTCTGGGGCATTGAGTTTGCCACAGCGTTTGACTGTAGGGACACAAGCCAAGAGGGGTCTCAGGGTGGCTGGGATGACTATTTGGACACTGGGGAGGCCTTGAAATGGTCACTGTCCATATCAGTGAGACCACTGAGATCAAACTGGTTTAGACCCCTGTCAATCAAGGGGGTTTCAAAATGTTCGTGGAAAATAATGCCACTATCCTTTAATTCCATTTTTCCACACAAAAAATTTGAAGAGATTAACTCAAGAAAAATAAAGATGGTTACCCAATCCATGAGGTATTAAAAGGACTTTACAAATATTTTTCTTTCAGGTAGACCAAAGGTTCTGGAAAATCAATGACATGGGCAACTTGTGACCCAAGCTAGGGAGCTCTGAACCACCCTGGCTACAAATGGTTTTGTATGCTTCACCTGATCATCCCACGCCCATGATTGGACAGATTATCAAACCATAGGCTGCTGGGACAGCCAGCTGTCAGTCCTCTCTGACTCTTTCAATAAGCAGCCAGGCCTGGCCCTGAGCTTTAGTAAGGCGGACGGCTGGCACTGAACCTCATCCAGATAGATGTATATCATGAAATTCAGGCATTAAAACGGGGCACTTTCCCAGCCCCTACAGAGGCAAATCCGAAGCTGGCAAGTATCCTCAGAGGATTCTTGATGGAGAGCTTGCTTCTTTCTGTTCCCCTAAAGGCAATAAGCAATATTCTTACCTCTTACTTTAACCCGAAACTTGCAAATGCCCTTGTTCTCAGCTCTGTCATAAACGGTGTACTGGATTTTGTGGTCTCCTTCTGGAAAATGTGAGCCTGGGGGAAGGCCTTTTAGGATCACACTGAAAGGGGAAAACAAATAAAAACACCAAAGACAATCAGTTTGCTCTGACAGGGCATTTGGTGAGCACCAAATACACAGGACCTGGGGATACAAAGGGCAGACATCCGGTAAGCTTGTTGCGAACAATAGTCTCAAAGAATCAAATTTCCTGAGTTTTGCACTATTTGAGAAGAGCAGTTAGAGATTAGAAAATGGAAAGCCCCCCTCCCCCCCCCAAAAAGAAAATGTGAAGGCCCAACAGCTGGGAAGTTTAGTTTAGTTTTTGCTTTTTGGTTTTGTCTGCTTAGTGTAAGGAAACAAGAAAAGCCTTTACAGAAAAGGCATTTACTATTTCATAAATAAATAACACTTCCCCAAATCATTTTATTAGGACATAATCTAGACATCATACCATTCTATCCTTCAGACACATCAAGCAGTGTTGTATAATGATGACCACAATCATTTTCAATACATTTTCTTCCTTCTTGTGCACCTTGATGTTGGCTCCCCAGTACCCACTCCCTCTCCTGCCATCCCCCCAGAAACCCTTTTCTAGTTATTATCTCTATAGATTCACCCAACCTGGGTTTTATATACTAAAAAATATAGAAATATATATAACAAAGGGTTAAGAATGCTATGAACAATAAAGAAATAAAGCAGAGATAAGCCCCAATCTGGAAAGAAACAAAAACAATCCCCCCAAATATTGAAAACCAGATCAAGATCAAAGTGTATCCAAAGGGAGGTAAAGTCATTCAAGTCAGATTTAACATTTTAATCTACTATAATTGCCTTTCCAACACTCTGTCTGATAACCAGGTTATTCCCATCCCTCCCTTCTGGTCAGAGGGGGTCACCTGAGGCTTATTCCGTGTGTAGAGACTGTGAACTGTCATCCATAGCCTTCTGCAAACCAGATCTTCACAATTTAAGTTCTGATACCATTCCTTCCTTCCGATTTGGATTATATCTTTTCCACTCCTTGGATCACAGTCGTTGGTGTGCTTCCTCCATGTGGGCTTAGTTGACAATCTCACTTAGATGGCTGCTTGTTTAAAAGCAAGCCTTTAAGACCCCAGCTGCATTTTTTACCTGGTAGCTTGGCACCATCCAATTGCTTCACCCCACTTTGCTATAACACCCATATCTTCCCTGTTTTCCTTCACGAGGGCACATATCGGGTGTGGAGCAATGCCATGCTCTAAGAAATAAATGTTCTTAGACTGGAGCTAGGATTAAGTGTAAGCCCCAAATTCATTCTTAAATCTCTGTTTTCTACCTACCTCTTGTTCACCTTAGAGATGGCTTTGTTAAGTAAATCAGTTTTGAATGAACAAAACTTAATAAATGATCAAACCAATGATCAATACCACAGGGACTGCTAGCTTTGCAGCTGAACCTCAAAGCACTCAAGACAACCAAACAGGCCTCATTCACGGGGGTGACCAGAGAGGGAGAACGAATTGTTGCAGGGAGTGCCTGAATTGACTGACGTAGGGGAAGGTAAGGGAATTGTCTGTGAGAAAAAATAGTTTGATAATCCGAGTAGTCACTGATAATTTGGGCCTGCAGGGGTGGCTAGAACTTTGCCTTTTCTATCTAAAATCACTCACTACCATCAAGTAGATTCCTACTCAGACTGACCCTATAGGACAGAGTAGAACTGTCCTTGTTGGTCCCTGAGGTGGCCAGATTTGTCCATGTTTGTAGGAGAAGAGAAGTCTCTTCTTTCTCCCAAGGAGCTGCCAGTGAGTTATAACTGGCGACCTCCCAGTATGCCGCCAGGGCTCCTTGTCTAATCTTGAGTACAACCTGGGGAGATAAGTCGTCGCCTATCCATCTCACAATGAGGAAACAGAGACACCAAAAGAGCTTGACCACAATCACATGGCTAGTGTGACTCTGGCATCTTTCTTCTCAGAAATAAGATTCTGCAAACCTATAAGTTCCCTCCCCTTCCCATTCCTTAGGAAAGATGCAAATATTTGCCAGAATAGACCTGCAAAATGATCAATGTCACCACTGCGGAGACTCTCAGAGGTAGACAGACGAGGTAGCTATTTATAAAGGATTCAGTGAGGGGCCTGGGAAAACTGAGAAACCCCATCACTAGAGCCATGTTGCTTTGGGCCTCAGATGCTTTCAGGTCCTCAGGAGATACAACTGAAATGTAGACACATCTGAGAGGAATAAAGCCCAAGTATTGGTGGCTTCTAGCCTTAGTTGAAATTTCCTTTACTGCCATAACATGGCAGATAACACTCATAGAAAAAAATACACAGGAAGCATTCATGACAAAGAGCGACTGCTAGAGATGCCCTTGTACCTTTCCACTTACAAAAGGACTATATTAGGGGGATTCAAAAGCTCATGGAAACTGGGATTAAAATAGAATCGACTTTTCCCATGAATTTTTTGAGGCTCCTTGGGATAAGAGAAGTTTGATTAAGATACAGGGAAAGGCGATCACAGGAGAAGTGCTCGGAAAGCAGGGTGCCCAAGAGAGAGTGAGAAATGACAACGCAGCTGTCTCAGAATTCCTCATTTGGCTGTTATGAACCCAAAATCCACAACATCCTGCTCCATGCCTCTGAAAGCAGATCGTTTCTCTAAAAGGGGTGGTGGTGGCTCTAAGATGCTGTTTTAAAATGTCACATTTATAATCAACACACAAGTTACCCAAACAATGCCAAGACAAATGTATTTCCTAAGCTTTTAAACAAAGAGCCCTCTAAGGACAGGGAACATCTGACCTGATATTTGTGCTCATTGTACAGTATTTCAACAGCAACCACAGTTGAAAAAAATATCTGTTATGAACTTACTATGGGCTAAGGGATGGCCTAGGCATTGGGTTAGGTTCTCAAGATTCAAAGATAAATAAAACCCAATTACTGATAACTAACAGCTGTGACATATATTTTTTAAAGCTAACTGCCCCCATTTTTTCTCTAGCGGTGTTATGACATACATCTGTGAGCACAATTAATAAATATATTTTTTAATGCTCTATCTTAGAGGAGTCAGAAGGAGGAGCACAACTGATAATACTGGTTAAGCTGGATGATACACGGGGGAGATAATAAATATGTAGGAACAAAGTGTCTTGTTAGGAGTGAGAGCTTCAACTTGCTCTTAGAAGATGACCTGCTATTGTTAATTGCATAAAAATATTATCGCTTGCATATTCTGGATTTACAGAGCTCAAGAAACTCTTTCCCTGCTGTATGGCTCTGCAGGGGTTCAGTCAGAGGCTCAGAGGCATCTTTTGGACTATGGATAGAAACTCAGCCTAGGGGGCTACATGGGGCCATTAGCCCTGTTTTTATTACCAAATTATTTTCGGTTTTGAATTTTTCTTGATAACATGTGTTTTCGATAATGGCCTTCTACTCCAGAATCAAGGGGAAATGTTTCAAAATAGTATGGATTTTAATCTAATTACATGGGACACATATGTCAAAAGTGGACTCTAGTCCTATGATTGATGGGGTGAGGTCCATTTCTTCAGATCCAAACAGTTATATATGTCTGAGACAGGTAACAGCATATAGTAAAACCTCTCAAGTAACGTCACAGGCTGAAAATGTAGATCAGTGATATATGCCACATGGTTCCTGAATGGACCAGTTGGCTCTCTCTTCCTCCATCTTTCCTTCTTTCCTTCAACAAAGATGTATGCAGTGCCATTTATGCTCCAGACACGGTTACAGACATGAGGATATGGCAGTGAGCACATCTAGTAGAGACGGGTAATAAACAAATATGTGAAATATATGTACTCGTATGTGTGCACACACATGTACCTGTGCTTGTAGCTAATGCATTAGGTGATGAAAATAACTACTGAAAAATAAAGAATGGATGGCTAACGAAACAATTTCTGAAAGAGTGTTGGTTGAAATTTTAAATAAGAGGTCAGCAATGACCTTTCTAAGAATTTTTTTAATTACCTAAAGCAGAGTAGGGGACCATTCAGATAGGGGAAGACTAGTCCAGGCAGAAGGAACAACAGGAGCAACGATGCTTTAATCGGTGCATACTATGTGTATTTGAATGAAAGCAAGGAGGCCAGTGTGTCTAGAACAAATTGAGTGAGGAAAAGCAGAACAAAAGATGACTGCCGATGGGGGGTGACTTTAAATAAGAAACTATTGTAGGCTTTGGAGCATAGAAATGATGCAATCTCCACGGATATATGTATGGATTGTGATAAGAGCTGTAAGAGCTCCCAATAAAATGACTTAAAACAACAACAACAAAATGGTGTAATCTGACAGGCATTTTCAAGCATCTCCCATGCAACATAAAGCATTGAGACTACATCAAAGGAAGCAAGAGTGGAAGAAATAAGGAGTTATGGTGAAAAATAATGGTGACTCGAAGAAGCTGCAAAGAAGCGGCACCCCAGGTTTACCATTTTGCCATTCACCAGGGAGACATATCTGAGAGCACGTCTTGAATAGACATACCCCTTACTCCTAGCATGCCTGGCTCACAGAAATAGGGCAGCATCATTCCAGGAACCAAATTACACTTACTCAGTCAGAATGCCATCTGCTGTGTCTCTTCCCTCCGGAGTATCCCAAGATACCCGGACTGTCAGCTTATTGGGTTCAGCAATTCGTTCCTTCACACTTGGGCACTTAATTCTAGGAGCTTCTATATCTGGAGAGACAACCAAAGTATTCGAACCATTGTTAAGAAGTATCTCCTATCAATGCAGGGGGTTTATACCCAATATTTAACATACAAAAAATTCAAATTTAATCCCTTTTTCCCCCAGGTTTTTCCCCCAACGGTTTTATGGGCATATAACTCACATATTATACAATTCAATAGTTCAATAACATTAAGATGAGTTGTACAATCATCATGACAATCGGTTTTAAGACATTTTCTTCAGTCTTGTACTCATCATTATTAGGTCCCCATTTCCCCCCAACCTCCTCTGTCACACCACCAAGGGACCATTAATCCAGTTACTATCTCTATAGATTTACCTTTGCTGTGTTTCATACAGAGAAAAACATTTTAAAAACAACCAACAACTAAAAACCTTCAAGAATAACATATAAAAATCTCAATTGAAAAGAAAGAAAAAATTAAAAGCCAGAACACATTTAAATGGATCATAAGGAAGATCAAATAATCGGGTGGTCAATTTTAACCCAACTGTATCTGCAACAATCTACTTTCCAGTGCAGTCTGCGTGTTGGCAAGACTGTTCTCATCTCTGGCCCATTGTGGGAGGGGCTTCCCCAGGAGCTCAATCCACATATATTTCCCCTTCATTCAAAAACAAAATTTGAAACAGCTTTAAAATGGGTCTCAAGGGACATCGAATAACAATATATTACATTTTGACCTAACTACATCTGTCATAATCAACGCTACAGCGTTGTCTGTCTCGTAATAGGGCCATTCATATCCCTCAAATACTATCAGAGGGGATTGACCAGAGATTAAATACATGTGTAGACTCTGCAAATGGATTTTGGGGCTTCCATAACCTTCTGCAAAACCGAATGTTCATAATTTAAGCTCTGATGACATTTCTTCCTCTCAATTTGGATTATGTTTTTTACGATGCTTGTATCACACAGGCTGGTGATCTTCTATGTCGACTTAGTTGATGTCTCAATTAGATAGGTGCTTGTTTGAAAACAACCCTTTAACACTCATTCTAGACACGATTATTTCTGATAGCCAAGTACCATCAAGTTTCTTCACACAATTTGCTATATGGCCCATTTTCAAAGAGTTTTTTTCACCCCTCTGCATTTCTCCTCTCTCCCTCATCTTTCGCTTCTGTGAGTTTTGGAGATGACTTGTGTACTTACAAACACAGGGCTAAACCTTTAATTAATTGGCCTTTATAGGTGTTCTGTAGGGTCATTTATTAGCTACACCTCCTTACTCTCCACTCTTCCAAACTGTTTACTGACTTGGCAACATGGCAACTACTTAAGCTGAGGGAAGAAGTGATTCAGCCTTAATGAGGCCCTCTTACTATAAAGGCAGAAGAGCAGAATATTAGAAAAAGGTTATATTGGCTATCATATATTCTGATTTAATTCAATAAAACTTTATTGAGTGTTCATTTTGCCATGTAAATACCTGGGCAATGGAAACTGGTAACTGAAAGGTTGGAGATCCGAGTCCACCAAGAGGCATCTCAGAAAAAAGGCCTAGAAATCTACATCTAAAAGGTCAAAGACATAAAAACCCTAAAGGCACAGTTCTACACTGACTCATATGAGTTGGCGTCAACTGACCAGCCACCAGACTGGAACTTTACCATGAGTTGGGGATCAACCCAAGGGCAGCTGAAGGTACCATTTCAACTACTAGGGTTTGAAGAAGGCACAAAGAATAAAGTAATTGTGTGTTGAGCTTACAGTCTGTTTTGGAGATGATGGTAATGCAGATCAAATACAGCACAAGGCAAGAAATGGTATTGCTGTAGGAAAGGCAAAAATGAATACTATGAAGACTTAACAAAGCCACCAATGTTACAGATAGAGAAACCAAGGCTCAGAGAGCTCAAGTGACTTTCACAAGGGCGCACGTATAGACAGTGACATATAGACAGTGGTGCTGTGAACTATAACACAGGCTGGAGCACTTGCATCAGGGCTGTATCGTCTCACCGTATGTATTCACTCTGTATGCTAAGCAAATCATCAGAGAAGCTAGGCTTTATGAAGAACGTGGCATCAGGGTCCTAAGAGGGTTTATTAACAACCTGCAACATGCAGATAGCACGACGTTGCTTGCTGAAAGTGAGGAGGACTTGAAGCGCTTGCTGATGAAGATCAAAGATTGCAGCTTTCATTATAGATTACAACTCAATGTAAAGAAGACCAAAATCCTCACAGCTGGACCAATAAATAAAATAACGATAAATGGAGAAGAAATTGAAGCTGTCAAGGATTTTGTCTTGCTTGAAGCCACAGTCAATGCTCATTAAAGCAGTAGTCAGGAGATGAAAAGTCTCATTGCATTCAGTTATTCTGCCTCACAAGACCACCTTAGAATATTGAAAAGCAAGCGTGTTACTTTGAGGACTAAGGGGCACCTGACCCAAGCCATAGTATTTTCAAATGCTTCACATGCTTATGAAAGTTGGACATCAAATAAGGAAGACCAAAGAAGAATTGATGCATGTGAATTATGATGCTGGAGAATAATATTGAAAGTATGATGAACTGCCCCCAAAACAAACCAATTTGTCTTGCAAGTCTGGCCAGAGTATTCCTTAAAGGCAAGGATGGTCAAACTTCCACATACATATTTGGGAAATATTCTTAGGAGAGACCAATCACTGGAGAGGGACATCATGCTTGCTTGGTAAAGTACAGGGGCAGTGAAAAAGAGGAAGAGGTCCTCAATGGTATTGATTGACACAGTGGCTGCAACAAAAGGATGAAGCAGAGGAACAATGGTAAGAATGATGTGGGACCGGACAATGTTTGGTGCTGTTGTGCACAGGGTCACTATGAGTTGGAGCCTACTTGATGGCACCTAGCAACAACAGAGAGCCTGCTACTGGAATAAATCCCTCCAGTCCCAATGTAGTCCTCAATACCTTTAAACAGGCAATAGTTCCTCTAGATCCATTCTCCCTGCCCCCGCTGCCACTGAACCACGTCTATACCTTGACTCTCGGCCTCCAAAGGCTTCCTAATTTTTCCCAAGTAGTAATAGACGTTCCAGTGATAGAAGGTACCAATGATGAGATGATAATGGAGGCTAGAAATGCATGAGATGTCAAATCTACACTGGGTTGGATATCATCTAATTACAGATGAATGGAATAACATGAAGCAGCAGTTCAAACTTTCACAAATTCTTCTTGATGATTCTGAACAGATCAGAACACATTTAAAAAGGTCAGTGCAAATTAATAGCATTCAACATGGCATTGCTGAATATCAACGGACAATTCAATGCTACTCTATTCTGAATAAAAATTAAATGGCTTTTGATCCTGAAACACAAATGTTTTCTCTAAGCTAAATATATCAAGTAAAGGCTTCAACTCCTTTCTCCTGTATCTTGAGTCTGCTGAGTTCTCATTTTATGCAAGGTAAGAATGTGTGAAGAATATGTTAAACATTTCTGCCTCCAACTATACAAATTCATTTTTATTCTGTGCCAAGCTTAATGGAGTAGGAATTTACAGCCTTGACACATTAATCTTAAATTGAACAACTACCAACTTTTGTTGAATCTAAGCCACTGTTGCCTGTGAAATGCATCCTAATTTCAGGGATACTAAAGTGTAAAAAGCATACTTTTAAAAATTGCTGAAATAATGTATATAAATATATGATGAATAGAAGACAATTTAAACACATCCTGGGTGTCTATTTCCAGTTGTTACACTTTCAGAAACAATCTTGATTTTTTTCTTTTTTCTTTTCTTTATCTTAATCATTTTATTGGGGGCTCATACAACTCTTATCACAATCCATCCATCCATCCATTATGTCAAGCACATTTGTACATATGTTGCCATCATCATTCTCAAAACATTTGCTTTCTACTTGAGCCCTTGATATCAGCTCCTCATTTTTCCCCTCCCTCCCCACTCCCTCCTCTATCATGAACCTGTGATAATTTATAAATCACTATTATTTTGTCATATCTTACACTGTCTGACGTCTCCCTTCACCCACTTTTCTGTTGTCCATCCCCCAGGGAGGAGGTTATATGTAGATGCTTGTAATCGGTTCCTCCTTTCCACCCCACCCTCTCTCAACCCTCCCGGTATTGCCACTCTCAGCGCTGGTCCTGAAGGGATCATCTGTCCTGGATTTCCTGTGTTTTCAGTTCCTGTCATCCTCTGGTCTAGCCAGGTTTGTAATATAGACTTGGGATCATGATAGTGGTGGTGGGGGAGGGGTGGGGAGAGAAGCATTTAGGTACTAGAGGAAAGTTGTATGTTTCACCGTTGCTACACTTCACCCTGACTGACTTGTCTCCTCCCCGCGACCCTTCCTTAAGGGGATGTCCTGTTGCCTACAGATCGGTCTTCGGTCACCAGTCTGCACTCCCCCTCATTCACAATGATTTGATTTTTTTATTCTTTGATACCTGATCCCATCAACACCTTGTGATCACACAGGCTGGTGTGCTTCTTCCATGTGGGCTTTATTGCTTCTGAGCTAGATGGCCGCTTATTTACATTCAAGCCTTTATGATCCTAGACGCTATATCTTTGGATAGACGGACAGCACCATCAGCTTTCTGCACCACATTTGTTTATGCACCTGCTTTGTCTTCAGCGATCGTGTCAGAAAAGTGAGCATCATGGAATGCCAGTTTAATAGAACTGTATTCTTGCATTAAGGGAGTACTTGAGTGGAGGCCCAATGTCCTTCTGCTACCTTAATACTAAACCTATAAATATATGCATATAGATCTATTTCCCCATAGTCATATATAAATATATTTACATATGTACATGCCTTTATTTAGACCTCTATAAATGCCCTTTGCCTCCTAGTTCTTTCCTCTATTTCCTTTTACTTTCCTCTTGTCCACCTATTATTTGGGTTTCAGTAATTCCTCTCAGTTACATTACCCTGGATCAAGCCCTACCAGGCCCCCTATACCCTCCTCACCCTCCTCACCACCAATTTGGATCACTATGACAAGTG